TAGTCTTGAAGTAGTGTCTATTCTAAGGTACTAGAAAATTCTTGAGTGGAATGTAATTCTTTCTCCCCTCCCCCCTCCACCTCCGCCCCCAGGGGAAAACGTGAAGTTTTCTATCACCTGGATGGTAGGTGTTTTCTTTTCATCACTACTGGAAGCTCTTGCTCTGCATTGTTCCCCTTGGTCACACTGGAAGTGGGTGGTCCTTTTGGTGGACTGTGCTTCCTGCCATTGGACATTCAAGGCCTAAAAGTTAGAGATTCAACAACCAGAAGCTTTGCTTCTTTTTTACTTCAGCTTTATAGTTCTTTGGCAGTTGTCTCAAAAACATCAGACTTCCATTTTATTTGATTCTTGCTAGTCCTACATGTAATCTAATCTAATGGGACTCAGAGCTACGTCTTTTCCTAGACGTAACTCTCTAGAATGATGTTCTTCAGTCTGTTTTATTATTTTTTGACAAATAAAATTGTATATAACTATGGTGTACCACATGTTGCTTTTAAAAAGGCATGCATTATGGAATGGCTAAATGAAGCTAATTAACACAACCATTTTTTGTCACCTACTTATCCTTGATTTATGGTGAGTGCACATAAATCTCTCTAGGCAATTTTCATGTTTACTCTGCTTGCTATGAGTTATATTTACCATGTTGTGTAATACATCACTTATATTCACTCTTCCTGTCCAACAGTATCTTGGCCAATGTTCTGTAGCCTCTGCGGGCTGCCAGTCTACTCTGAGCCTCTAAGAGTTAAACTTATTTAGATACCACATACAGGTGAGATCATATGGCCTTTATCTCTCTGTGCCTGGCTTATTTCACTTAAAATAACATCCACCATCTTTTTGTTAACCATTCATCTACTGATGGATACTTAGGTTGATTCTATATATCAGTTATTGTGAATACTGCTTCAAGAAACAAGGGAGTGAAAATATCTCTTCAACTTAGTAATGCATTTCGTTTCCATTTTATGCCCAGTGATGGGTTTGATTAATCACACGTCAATTCTATTTTCAGTTTTTGAAGTTTCTGTATACCATTTTCCATAATCATCATATTCCTACCAGCAGTGTATAAGGATTCCCTTTCTCCCACATCCTTTTGGCCTTTGCCTCATGATTTGTTAATGACTCCCTGGAGGCTATTTGAAGCAATAAGTTTGGATGAGGCCAGAATACCATCTGTTGTTACTCTTTGCCTTAGGACCTAAAGTTACAACCATCTTCAAAGGGTTGTTTCTGAGATTCCTGAGCATATCAAAATGTACAGAGGCCTAGGTGTGGTGTGTGATAACGTCTTCTATGTGCTAAAAATCATCTCCATATTAACATTCCTAGTATGATATAAGCAGCATAAAGTAGATGTTATACTATATTGTCTAGGGAATAACAGCGAGGAAAAGAAAATCCACAGGCAGTACATGCTCAATAGAGGTGCATCTAACATAGTCCAAACCACAGAGGGCACAATCTGGATGCTGAGACCACAGATGTGGGACTCTGGGTGTGAAGAGCAGTTGTGAACTGAGAAATCTCATGGGGACTTTCACACTGAAGACCCTTTGCATTTTCATCTTAATATTTCTTGGCTAGAAATAGGTTTTAAACATTGAAACTATTGATCTTTGACACTCTCTCTGATTCCTGCTTGAGAATAACTCAGTTCATGCATGTATTTGCCCCTTTCTTGTAATTCCTTACTAATGGTAGCCACTCTGCCCATGCCACACCATGTATGACTTCCTGAACACTCCTTCAGGTGTGTGGTCTGCTTATCAACTTATTTCAGACCAGATATTTTGCAATGATATCCCAAGGCTTTCTAGGTTGCTGTAGACTGCTTCCTTGCAACCTTTCATTAAGGAAGTAAACATTTCATAGGGTATTAAGCCACTTCCTGTTCTATTTTTTTTCTTGATCACATTGGTTTAATTATATCTTATTCAATTTACAGCCTGATCTGGGCTAGTCTACCCAGCTGTTCTTTCAGGTACAGGTAGTAAATACCAACACCAAGATTTGAACCCAGGCATCTGGACTCCCAAGTCTCAACCACTTTCATTTAAAAATTTGCATCTTGCAAGACACATTGCTTCCAATTTCCCATTTTTAGCACGTTTCTTCTATATTTCACAAGTTTATATGCAACTCAGGCCCCTTGATCATGTAAATATTTATGCTATCACAATTTTTCAGAGCATGTATTGAGAGATTTTTATGCCATAAAAAATATTGAAGCTCTTTAAATACAACTTGCCACTGTCAATTTTGAAACAGTGTCTTGATTCATAACTGTTTTCTTACCATATTGTTCCATTTTTTTTTCAAGGACAACTAAATTAAACATCTTCTCACTTTTCATTGATCAATTTCCTTTTTATACAAAGGGAGGCTAATGGGAAACTTTCTATTTTGGAAGATGGAGTTTTGATGACACACAGCCCTGGCTGATCATTAGAGCTCTTTCTTTTCCATAAGGAGGAAGTAGTTACCTTTGGACTTCCATTTTTAGAGGAGAAACTACCAGGACCTGCCATGAACAAATGTTCTTTCAAGTCCTGTTGCACTTATGTACCAGTGGCCTGTGTTTGAAGAAGGTTAGTGGCAGAATGAGGCTCCCCACAAGGGGATTTTGAGGTGCTCTGAGAAGCAGACGGTGATAATTGGTGAAGGAGTTCGTCACTGCAGGCTGTCACGTCTCACAGTAGGAGTCATAGGCTGCTCTGCCTGGTAAACTACTTCTTCTGATCTATGAGTGATGCTGTGCTTCCTGTAAAAATACATCTTGCTTTCTACATCCTACGTGCTTCTCAGCCTCAGGAGCATCTCAGGGCTTGAGACTAATCTTGTCATACAGTAATGTCTCCTCTCGATTCTTAGTGTTCACCTGATTTTTCACGCTGTGGTTGTACCCACTTCCTTAAAAAAAAAAAAAGGGAGTGAAATTCTTTACTTTGACTGCCTTCTTGGAGTTAGGATAGAACACTGGGGCGAGACTTTGGATAGGGAGCCTTGCCCGCATTATGTAATGGCCTTGACCTCAGCCAGACATGAGGGATTCTTTTGCATTGAGCTGATGACAAGTGCCTCAAAGTCCACAGAAATTGTAAGTTGACACATCCCCCTGCTACCTAGCTCACCGTGTACCCTTTGTCAAGTTGTAATGATATTGAGGAACGACTGCCAGTCATTGGCATTCAGCCATCCTGTCATGACTTACTGAAAATACCACTGGGCTCATCCAAGCATATCATTTTTTATTTATTATACAAATAATGGGATCAACTTAAAGTGTTTACATTAACTAAGTTGTTCCCATTGGAAAAGGCAGTGAGTTCATTCTTGCAGAGATGGTGTGAACTTTTAGCCTCTTGTAGTGTAGTCTAGAAAGCAGAATCTTTATTGTAACTCATATCCTAGGGAATATCGATGGTGAGAGACCAGACGTGGGAAGCACACATGTTCCAGCTACTAAGGCCAGCTTCAGAGCCCTCCCATGCTGTGTCTATGATCCGTGGTGGTTTTATGTCTTCTCCTTATTCTCTAAAGGAAACACACACTCACCCCCGCACCCCCCCCCCCCCACACACACACAGAGTAAGAACTCAGTATGCACTGTCTCTGAGGACAGTCTATATCTTCTAGTGGGTAGTACAGGACAAGCATCATGCATTGATAGACAGCAATTCCTAGTAGGAATTGGAGGTCGGCTAGCCAGTCAGAAGGAGCGGAGAGCAAAACTCTCTGGAAGCATGAAGAAGGAGCTCCTCATGGGAAAATGTGGGAAACTGGGGAAAGGGACCAGAGGAAGAAGAAGAAGGAGGAGGGAGGCTTGCAAAGCCCCAACTTTCTCAGTTTCTGAACTGAACTTTTGCTCCCAGCAGGTGAGCAGGCTCCCTCCCACACTGAGCCGTCGCCCCCTGCTGGTGTGCAGTCTGTTAAGTAAACAGAGACTCTCCACTGGGAAAGGAACATTTCTCTATTTTGGCTATGAGCTGTTATTTTTAAAGCTCCATGCTCCAAACATTTCCATCTATCCCTGTTTGTTTTTTTCAGTAGGAAGATTTTCTCTCCTACTTAAAAAAATTTACGTGACAAACAAAGCTCCTTTCCATATACTAGCATTGATTAAAGCTAACAGACCTTTGGTCTGACCAGGGCGCATTCACCCATTGAGTGATGTAGCTTTGAACGTTACCTCTCTGCTTCTGTGGATCCAGATTTCCACGGTCAAAGTGCAGTGCACATGGCTTGTTGTCTTCCGGATGTTTCAGGGCAAATGGCCAACTTCTCCCTTCTTGGACTTGTCTTTCTCTGTAGCTAATACTTAAATGCCATCTCTGTGTCTTGCCACACTCTCTACTCTTAGCGTGGTAAGTGCTTCAGTATCAACATGGTCCTGAGTAGATGTGAAGACTCAAGTGTCAGCTTGAACGTTACCTGTAGGCAAACCCATACCCACTACCCTCTTTAGTAACAACAGTGATCTCAGTCCAATACAAGTCCACACTTCCTGTAGTTTTTCCCCGTACTTCAAATGTTTGGCAAAGCACACCTGTGGGGACTCCGTTAAAACCTATGTACAGCTTGAGAGAAGAAATGCTTTTTTCTTCTCCTAATGACTACAATGTCTAAAATGCAGCAGCAAATCTATAAAAACGTATTAGAGAAAATTGTTATCTGACTCATAATCATTTTTTACTATTGAAAAATTCCATGTTTAACACAGGAGGTTTGGCAGTTACATAAGACCATCTTTCTTTTAAAGGGATGAAATGGGGTGCTTCAGTTATAGAAGACCTATGTGGGTTTTATGGATGTTTTATTGATGGGAGACCTTCTCCAGTTTGAGTGAAGGTTCATCATCTGTCAAGAGGAGGAGTTGCAGATTTTTGTTAACAGATTAGGAGCTGGTAGATTTTTATGAATGTGAACCTTATATCTTCTGGAAGCCTTTTCTGTGCTTTAATGTCTTGTACAATTTGTTTTCGTAGGAATCAGGGTAAATGTGTAGAGGGCATGGTGGAGATCTTTGACATGTTGCTGGCCACGTCGACTCGGTTCCGTATGATGAATCTGCAGGGAGAGGAGTTTGTGTGCCTCAAATCTATCATTTTGCTTAATTCTGGTGAGTTGACACAATAGCTTAATGCTGGGTTGCTGGAAAAGAATATTTACATGTGTTTATTTTTTTCATGCAGATACAATCTACCCACCACACAGGCAAAAAATAATGTCAAATACTGAAAGAAATGACATGCACTGACTATAACTTATCATCATTGTAGATTACTAAAGAGAGACAGGGTCATGTTGGTCAAATATGATGGGTAAAAAATTGATATTTAGGTGACGGGCACTGGTGGCTTATACTTATAATCCTAGTTACTCTGGAGTCTTGAGATCTGAGGATCATGGTCAAAGCCAGCCAGGACAGAAGAGTCTGTGAGCTTCGTATCTCCAATTAACCATTATAAAGCTGAATGTGTTGCTGTGGCTCAAGTTTTTGTTGTTGTTTGAACAAAAAAGCAAAGGGATAGCACTCAGACCCTGATTTCAAGCCCCAGTACTCACACACACACATACACACTCACACACACACACACACACACACACACACACACACACAAATGACATTTGGATATTAAATCAAATGCTTTATTTTTGTTGAAATATTTGCCTCCATTCACAGAGGTGGGAACCTCTTTCATTTATAAAAGGTATATGTATGTAGACATATACCTTATCTCATATGAGAAAGTAAGTAGATCAAGTGACTCTTGCTTGAAACTGTGACCTGGGGGTTAGGTATATAGGTTAGTGCCTTACATTCATGAGGCCCTGGGTTCAATCTTCAGGATCACTAGGAAAAACTTATGAGCAATTCCAAATTCCAGATAGTAATGAAAGAAGGTAGCTTGGGACAGACCATGTCTCTGGTTGAAATTGATTATCTAAACTATAGTTTGTTTGAACATTTAAACAACAGAACAATACTAGCCCCCATCCCATGCTGAGGACGAGTGGAACATGGTGCATTAGTGCAGTGGAACTCATTGTTCGGTTGGCCTATGCCTCCCATCCCAGAGAACCTCCTGTGTGCTCATTTGAGGGAGCTCAGCTAGCAGCAGTGTCTATTTTGTTTTGCTAGTCTGTTTTTCTTCTGCAGGGAGACTGGATATTAAACACAGGGGGGTTGCCTTGATGGAAATGGTGGCTTAGTCTGAACTAACACCTTACTCCTCCCAGCTCCTCTGAGGACCACATAGGAATTAGATCTGCAGCCCCAGAGGGCCTAGAGTTCCTGAGAGGCGTCAGCTGCACGTCATGCTCCTGTTTCATGGTCATATAGAAATCACCACTGTTTGGAATCCTTAGGCCTGCTTTAGTTCCTTACAGCATTAGATACAGTCTCCAGCTCTTCAGCTGCAGCCCTGTCATTTGCATGATCACGTACCTAGAGAATGAATGCTTCCTCCTCTTGCCTCATGTTTGTCTCTTTTCGGTGAGTGCCAGTCCCTTCCATCTCCCCTAACAATTTTCCACTTTCTCTTCTCCACCAGTGTGAGTAGCCCATAGTGCTTAATGGTTATCACAGCAATCATTCTCACTTATCAACCGAGAAATGGAAATTGGTACTATTGCACTAGGCCAGGCCTGAATTACAGAGGGAAGTTCCATGGAAAATAATGTGATCCACACTAAGGAAGTGATTACCACTCCATTCAAGTTTCTGGTTGCACTCACATGCATTGTGCTTTTCATTTGAGTCATTTGTCCTGTACGTTGGAGGGTCCAGATCCCACAATGGCTCTTTATTGGATGAGAGTTCTGGGAGCCATGCCACTCGGCTGCACAGTGCCAGGTCCTGAACCTGCTCCTTCTTCGGTGGAGGGCTGGCACGTGTGGATGGCGTTCATGTGGGTAATCTGTTAACTTCAGGGACAACAGGCCTAACAATTGTTGGGACTTCCCCCCTCCTCCCCACCTACTTTAACCAGGAAAGAAGACCTCAGACATAAAAGTGAAATTACTCAGTTATATAATCTACTCTGATCTTAGAAATGAAAATTATGTCTTTCCACTCCACATAAACTTTCCTTGCATTTTTTTTTTTGTTTCTGTTCTTGTGATAGTTCAGTTAAAAAAATTATACAGAGGAAGATCAAGATTTTACCATGAAACCATTAGGTCAAACATTAGATCATCTTACCATCAAAACCTTAGATTTATGGACCCCCCCACCCCCTGATAATGAATTTCCCACTGCAGGATTTGCAGCTTTCATACGCAATCCTGTGGTTTTTCTCTCGCAGGGTCTTCTGTGCATCTGCTTACTCTTGAAGGGTTGGGACACTGCTTTGGACATAGGAGGCATTGTGTGCTGACAGAGTTATCTTGAGATAAGAGGGCAGCAGCCAGGCTTTTCCATCAAGGACAGGGCTGCTGGCTTGGGAGAGTGGTGACAAAACAGAAGCAGACTCCTAAACCCACAATAACAAAGCCCATCTCCTGGCCGCAAAATGAGCTATGTGCTGGAGAGGCTGTTCCAATGCTGAACACAGCTCTGAGTGTCTCACAGTGTTCCTGGAAAAGGGATCAGAGAGGACAACACTGAAACAGCCCTGCCTGCAGTGTCTGGAGCCCTTGTCAGAGAGGAGAGGGAGTCTGCAGAGGGAAGGTATCCTTGATGCACAGATGGCTTCCCTCTCAAAACCTGATTGATCCATTGCATGGAGCTAAGGCAACTTTGGGCCTATCAGGAGACAGATTACAAAATGACACTGACTCCAGGAGTCTCTGGCAGAATCCGTACCTAATATGCTTCTGGAAACCTGAGGTAGAAGAAGACATTCTATCCTGGCCCAACTCTGGAAAACCTCAGGGCAGGGAGGAGCGTCAGGCTTTGTGGCAAGTCCCGGTCGGTCCCTGTCTGAGGAGGCTGAGTTCTCCCTGGGGCAGAGGCACAGGAAGAATTGAAAAGTTCAACAAGATAAAGTTCGGGAAGTGGGTACTGGAAAGGGTTGTGGTGGGGTCAAGGGGGAAAGGGTGGACAAATGAAGAGGAGAGGAGGGAGAGAACGCAGTCAAGAGTCCAATGTAAATCCTACAACCTTCAGAAGAGTGAGGGAAGGGGTGGGTACGGGGAGGGGGAGGGGTGGGTGAGAATATTGAAAGGGGTGCCAGTGATCAAAGTTCATTATATTCATAAACTGCCTTCGTTAAGTGGAAGCTTCTTTGTACAATGACCTGAATATAATCAAATTAATTAATTAATGAATTAATTAGTTACTTAACTACAATATAAAAGTTGTACAAGGGCCCACTAGGAATTCCTTTCTGGGTATCTTGAGGGTTTCCCAAAGCACAGCATTTCCACAGAATCCCTCTTCCCAGCTGTTTGGAAGAAGCAATTTGTCAAGGTTTCTGCCTCATTTAGAATAAATTTATTGCTTTGCTTTCAAAAGCCCAGAATTGTCTATAAGGACACACATTGTTTTTCCACTCGAAAGGACAGAAGCATTCCTGGTGAATCCAAAGATGCCTTCGCAAAATGCGTGCCAGCTTCAAGACATTCTGAGAACTAGCTAGGCAGAATTCAGGAGGAGGGCAGAAAGGAAGAGAGCAGAGGAACTCAGAGCAGAAGCCGGTGGAGTAGTCGCAGTGGGAGGGAGTTACAGCCACCGAAGGGAGGCTGAGAAGGAGGCTCTGTGCCTGTTTTTGTCCTCCTGCTGCCCCTGTGACTGAGAAGCCTCCTAAGCCTGGCTTAACTGACACCTTATTTGGGAAGCCATGGATATTCTCATGTGTCCGTCATGAATCCTCTTTCTCTGGAATGTTCCAGTGCCTAGCCCCTCTACGGCACGATCTAGCATTGACTAGCTGGTAGACTTCCTTTACTCAGAATTCAAACTCATTTTTCAGTTACTCATGTTTATTGCATTCCTGCTGCAGTCTTTATGCCAACCATACCAAAATGAAAGTCATAGTTCTGTGGGGTTTTTTTAAAACGTTGTTTTTTAGAGCTCAATTTGTTCTCTACTTCTTTGGACTTGCACGACTTAATTTCCCTTAAGAAATCCTCTTCAGTCTTTTTTTTTGTTTTTCTCATAGTTTTTGGGCTGTGGACTGTCAAAATATATCACCTCCCAATCTGTCATTAATAGATACTGAACGTGATCAGGAGGGCCTGGAAAGTTCTCATTTCTTCCAGGCGGTTGCAACCATTCTGAAATAGATCGTCTTTTTCCATGGACTGTCTCACTAGATAATATCAGACTATTGGGTGGAAAAACAGAGCGCCAGGCTCTAGGGTCATTACAGAGAAAGAGGAAGTGACGTAGCACGTGTCTAATGAAGGTCATGGAGCGCGTTGGTCTCTGCGAATGGCAGTGCTGAGAACCTGACCAGAGTTGAGCGGAGTCAGGCATTCGCTCTGCACAACTGTGTGAGTTTAAAGCCCCACAGCTAGGCTCATAAAAGAAATGCAGGAGCCCCAGGATAATAATTGAGACTGTAACTGTTACCCCGAGACTTGGTTAGTTGTGCGAGTGAATGATGTGTAACGTAACGGGTAGTAAGTGATTTCGTGTTGAAAGGCCTGGGTGGAGTGGCAAGCCCCTGCAGAAGCTCTGCCCGCCATTCCTTGCGGGGCCCTGACAGCCATTGCCCATTGGTTTCACCTCCTTCAGAATCCCCTCCTCCTCCTTGTCAGGGACCGTTTCTTAACACTCTGAAAATGCCTGTATCAACACTTCATGTGTATAAAACCTGAAATCTCTAATGAAAGTTTCCTTTGGCCTTGAAATTTAATGAGTGTTGCTATCCCTTTTGGAACTCCCTTATAATTAATTTTATTAGTATCAATGTGTTGTACAAGGGCAGTCTGCTTTGGACACTCAGATTTACAGACAATGCACCTTGATCATAACATACCACTTGGTCACCCACACTTCCCAAACCAGCCTCCAGAGCATCCCTTTCACACAGTCACACGCGTACACAACCCCACAGCCCCCGCTCCCCTCCCCCTCCCCACTGACTCCCTCCCTCCAGAGAGGATCTGCTTTACATTTCTTGGTACCGTTCATTTAAAAATATTTTTTAGTGTGTGTCATCCGAGTATATT